GGTCTAGAGCAGCTCACTGATGATAAGCTAGGCAACACACAAGTCAGCAAATTCACCCAATGTTAAGGCTACTTCACATAGTTAATTACAATGAAACTTCATGCCCACCTTGCTCTATAGGAGCTTCTCCTCCTACAAAGTTTTGAATTATTTCATTGTTTTGATTTCTCTTCAGAATTTTTCAATCCTCATGATTACCTATTCTTCTCCCCAAAAAATAACAGTGAGATAATTATTGTATTCATATATTCAGAAGGGAAAGAAGTATTTTTCCTGAAAGGTAGCAAGCAAGCAAACAAACAAAAACAGAAAATCCACAAACATAAGACTCCAAATCCAGAAAACACTACCCAGTGGACACAACAAATTTTCAAAGAATTCTCACACACAAAATTCCTACTAGAAAAGTAAATTCCAGATGCCCTACTTTATGGTTTGATAATCACCCCTAAGTTACAGCAAACCAATTAATGAACTGATTGTGGTTTATATGAAGACACTGAGAGGTATGTAAAAACAAAAGACAATTATGATAAATGCTGTAACATACAAGCCTCCAAAGTCAGAAAAAAATTTCACTTGTTTACTTCAATTTCTGGAATCTACAGGGTTGCTACAATGCTAACTGCGTTGGTTCCAGTTCTCTCCTGACATGGAATTCCTACCACCACCACCTATTTCTAGAACACCATCTATTACTAGAACACTTCTAGTTTTCAAATCTTCCAGGTAGGTCTACGAAGGAGTTTTTGAGAAGTTGATAAATCACTTGAAACGCTATGCAAAAGCTGGGTCTACAACTTAAGTGAACCAAAAGTTTAGGAAGTCCAATTTGAAATGCAAAGCCCTTGTGCGCTTCACCCCACTGCGTCACTCACCTGCGTGCGGCCGCTTGCTGGGTCCCAAAGGACTAAACTCTCGCTCTGCCCCCCGAGAAATCTTGTACACAGGCTCCAGCTGCCTGAGTTCTAGCTAGCTGTCATTCTCGCCTCAGTGTGTAAGCGCTGCCAGGTCTAGGAGAGCGGAAGGACTCTCGGGTCAGAGCCGCCCCCAGGAGCCTCCTTCATGAGTACTCGTCGAAGGGGAAGGCAAGAGCTGCTTCCCAGGATGGGAAGCTTCACTGGGGCCACAGCCATGCACAGCTGCTTGAATGTTAAAATTAAGTTCTCCCCCAGTCAGAGCACTGAAGACTGAGCGCCTTTCCTCTCACCCTAGGTTTTCTTTTTTCTTTTTTAAACAAAGACCCCACAAGGTGCTCAACCCTGCTGCGCAAAGCGCTGGGTGGGGTGGGGTAGGGGTGCAAAATGTAAAGCAGATGTTAAGTATAAACAGCTACTGCTGGCCACAGCCACATGCACACCATCAAGTCATTAAAATTTTAATAGGTCTTTTGACGGAGTATTTAAAAGACTTAGTAGGTTCCCCATTTTCAACACATTTAAAATCTATGAGGGCCAAACAAAATGAAGAATTCGCTTCTTCCAAATTAAACAGTTACATAGCTGAGTCTGATTTATGGCAACTACGTGCATCAGAATAGAAATAATACATAAAAATTCCTACGGTCAAAAACAGGATCAATACAAGTTAAGATCATCACTAACTTTTGGGATCCTTGAAGATCACAAAAACTTCCTGAGAACATTAACTTTGAACCTTCAAAGGTAATCTGATAGAGGCATATGTTTCTTCTCCCGGCCAAAAAAAGAGACAAACTTCAAGGTAAACAAATTGCTCAAAAAGATAATGGTTCAGATTTGAAGCAACGTGGTGTGTGGAATAGTTCTGAGCAACTTTCATTTGACTATGTCACTCACAATTCTCCTTTGAGAGACACACAGAGGTTGTAAAATTGGGGGAAAAAAATAGTAAAAGAAAAGTAATCAGATCATATTTGGTCCATGCAGTGAACAATCTTAGAATCAACCTGCAGATGTGATAAGTGAGACTTCATGGTATAGAACAGAATGCAAATCTAACTTTAGAAACGTTAGTGTACAGTTCATGCTGAAATGTAGAATGAGTAAGAGAAGGAAAAGGGTGGCTTTATCTCATCTCATAAAATATAGTTCTATTATTTAAAGTTACCAAGGAAGTGAAAGGTGGTGAATTAAATCCTCTAGCATATAGCAGAAAGATAACAGATGTCTAAACTTGATCAGTAAAAAACTACATATATGATGGTGGTGGTGTTATGTGCCGTCGAGTTGGACGAGGCAGTATCACTATGGAAGTAGATTGCCCAACCTTCCTTCTGAGGAGTCGCTGTTGAGTCTGAACCACCAGCCTTGGTTAGTAAGTCAAATGCCTTATGCACTATGCTACCAGAGCTCCTAATATATGACGGTAATCACCAGAAATAGTTACAGGCAGTTGATTCTGGGATGTGGGATGGCAATTTGTAAATGAGGTCCAGGACTATTGCTTTCGATTATATACCCTTTTATAAAATCTTCTTTTCTAATCATACATATATGTTACTTTGATAATTTTTTTAAAAATCATTACAATTTATACCTAGAAATGAGGAAAGTAACTGAACATAGGGGGATATTTACAACTGGTTTGCAGTAGTGATGAGATTATAAACAATCTTTTCTTTTTTTACATTTGATTCAGTAATGCTACAATGCTAATTTGACTAAACAAGCAAAATCAAAATTTGTTATAAGGCAATCAGAACAGCTATGACCAAGTAGCTCTTTGAGGAAACAGAAAAAATGAAGGAAGAGTGGTTTATAAACGCTCTTGAAACTGAGTAAAGTAAAAACTACTTCCCCTACCCCTGGTTAAGGCAGATAATTAGAACAGATAGGACCCAGATGGGAATAGATAAGTAAACTTAATTACTATTTCTCCACTCCAGACCCCAGCTGAAGACAGGTGAGTAAACACAGTAAGGTCAGTTCCTTAAGAACTGAATGGAGAAAAAAAAATTCTTTCCTGCTATTTCCTTAGGCACAGGTGATAAATGTGTTAATGTGTCTTGGAAAACAACTTGAAAATTAACTCTGGCCCACGGACAGGACATGCGCAGTGGGGCAAACAAGAACAAAGTTACTGGGAACTAACACTCCCCTCTGCCTAAGCCCTGATCAGCTGATGACAGGAAGCTGGTGGGACTCATCCAGTAAACAGGTGCACTAACTCAAATTGCTACCTTCTCTTTAAACCTTGGCAAAGGAAATTTCAGCTGATCATCAACCATCTCACACCCAAATTCCTGAAGCTTTTATTAATATGCATAACCCTCTCTTCTGAAACCTACAAAACTGTAATTCGATGGAGTTTTGGAGAGTCAGATCTGGGTACTGGGGTACCCCGACTCCTTGCATTGCCGCTTTGCAATCAATAATTCTCTCTCCTCTTAACCATTCGGTGTGTAAACTGTTTTGGCCTGACTGTGCACCAGGCAGGGACCCATGTTTGGTCCTATTTCACTCTTTGCAAACAAAATCAACTAGAAGCAAAAATTAAAACACACAGCTATCACAAATAACAATGCACACACCTTCATTCATTCATTCTTTCTTAGAAGTGAGATTTCAGAGTATAGTATTTCCCATCTTTTTATTACTGGGACTTCCCTTTTTGAACTGTCCGTTTTTTGACCATTTGTGTATTAGTATATCTACGTATCTACATACGAAGAACTATAAGTAGATAATCCACTGTGCTCTTACTTTTCCTTGTCTGCTACTCACCATTTTTTATATAGCCAACTAATCTTTTTGTGATCAAATCTGTTGGCAGTTTCCTCTGTGATTAACGTCCTTTCTGAGTTTAAAGTCAACCCTCATTCCCAAGTCCAACGATGAATATTTCACTATTTTTATAGTTTAATTTTTTATAATTCATATGAAATTAATTTTGAACATGGTATAGGACAGCCTTCTAACCAGCTATCCAAACACCCATTGAATACTCCTCTGCTTTCCATACGTGAGACTTCATTTATCAACTAAATTCCTGTAACAAGATATATTTTGGAGATAAGTTGCTTTGGATAGTTTACGTAAACAGTAACGTAACTCAAAATCAACCCTTTTTGTCTCCCCAATATTTATACCTCATTTGTTTTATGTCTTAATGCTTTGGCTCATTCATTTAACAATTTATTACCACTTAGGTTCTAGACACAGTAAGATCAAGATTTATAATGGTGAATAACAACAATGCTCCTTCGTCAACCTTAAGGTATGGTTGAAGAAATTAATTATAGCAAGAATGAGTAGCTTTGTTTTGGTAAAAAAGGAGTGTGAGTTCTAAGAATGATTTTCAATTTCACATCTGTGTATTATACACTAGAACAGTTTTGTTGAACTGGTTCCACAAAATACAATAAAATGAATACCTCAAAATGTAAGCGAGCTGAGAATAAGTAACAAAGAAAAATTAAAAGCACTGTTAGATAACTTAGGGGAAAATGTTTCAGCCTTTATTTTCAAAGACAGTCTGCATATTATATTTAAAAAGAAAGTGTTATGTTTACTGAGTACAGAGTCCACACTGCACACATTAAACCATTTTCATCACGTATCTGATGATCTAAAATCACCCTGAAAAGCTTAAGTCTTTCACTGTTTGTTTCATGGAAATCATATTATCACTTTAAAGGCTCCTTTTAAGTAAAAATGAGACCAAATAATTTCTAACCAAAAGTGTATCACACCCTATTGCTTGTTTTATAGGGTCAATAAACACAATGCTTACACTTAGCATTTAGACATACACGTCTACAATTCTTCAAGAATACACTAGAAATAAGATATTTAGAATGCTTTAATCTTTTTCAGTCAACACCATTTGTATCATCAACTGTAATGTTATCATTTTCAGCATTTCACGTAACTAGTCAGTAAAGCTTTTTTTTTAAGGGTGGGAATGAGGACAGGAGACATAAGGGTGTCAGGTTTCACATTTCTGTTAAAAACTCAAATATCCAAATTATTTTCTTGATGCATCAAAACTATGTCGCAAACTTGAATGTTGTTTTAGCTTTAATCCCATGACTCGTCATCTACTGGATTGGGCATCTGTGAAGAAGCAAATCCTACTGTGCTCAAAGTGCTCTTCCCCTGGTAATTCTTTAAAAAAGAAAGAAACATTTAATTTTAAAACAGCCTTAAAGTATTGCTCTAAGATATACCCTGTAAACTTTGTAAAGGTCTTTACCTGTAAAGACCTCCACACCTGGCAGTCACCTTTCAGCTAAATAACAGATCAGCTCATAAAATAAACTATCACCTGTGAATACTGTGCTTCTTTAAAAAAAACATTTATATGAGACCAAAAGGTCAACATTTACCCTAAAGCCAAGATGAGAAGGTAAGAGTAGGGGCAAGAAGCTAGATTAATGGAAATGGAACAACCAGGACTGAACTAATGAATGTTGACATGTGGAAAATGGTAACCAATGTCACTGGAAAATACATACAGAAAGTCATGAACAAGAACCTAATTATCTGTGTCAACTTTCACCCAAAAACACAATAAAATCTTATTATAACAAAAAATAAGTAAATAAATGAAATATCCTTAAACTTACATTGCCCTGACTGAGAAACAGGGACTCAAGCTTTCTACCATGTCTTTTTCAAATACATAAAGAACTTCATTCTCACTAAATCCAACTTTAAAAAAAAAAAAAAAAAAAAAACCAAGAACAAACCGGGAAAGGCAAAATTGTACAATATTTAAGGAAAATTCTTTTGTAGGCCAATAGTTTTGACAAGTGGGAAACTTAAAGTACTACCCTTCAATGAATAAGCACAAATATTTAATGATCAGTATGCTACTTGTTTCTGTATAAAGGTGGTGCTGCCTAAAATAACTGACACATCAGAAAAGACCAACAGCTTAATGGTTCCAGTATTTTATCTTAGTTAACAAAGTACTCAGAATTCCAAAAATAAAGACTTCCTAAATAAAGTTCAAAAGATCCCAAATGAGAATCTTAAATACCACTAAATCAAGGAAGATGTACACATAAGTCTCAGAGTTAATTCCTTATCTTTGAAACTAAAATATACAAATATGCATAAAATATATGCAAAGAATTATTAAAGTAGCTACCTTCCAGGCAAGAAAACAATGGTTTACATAAATTATTGACTATTATAGTTACTTCACAATATTAAGTACAACAATTTACAAAAATTATTTGGAAGCCAAGATGTGAATACTTCCCCTCAACTAACCTTTCGAGTATCAACTGATGCAAAGACATTTCCTCTCACACTACCACCGAAGCCAGGAAGGTATGTACTAAAGGCAATTTCCTCCAACCAAGCAGGGACATCCTGTTGTGCCTTAAAAAAAATAATAATAATTTCATATTCAACATGAATAAAGTCTCAAAGACTTTAACAGTTTACTTTTCCTGAATATTTATTGTTGTTAGGTGCTGTGGAGTCATTTCTGGCTCATAGTGACCCTATGAAGAACAGAACAGAACACTGCCCAGTCCTGGGTCCTCACACTCGTTCCTATGTTTTGAACCCACTGTTGCAGCCACTGTGTCATGTACACATATGCATGAAACGTCTACTTTCAATGATAAAGAACATTACCCATTCAGTTTTAAAATTTAAAACTTACATCTGACAGTATTTTCACTAGAGGTTGTGCTATATGGCTATCCGATTCAGGATCAAAAAAGGAAACAGCTCTGCCAGTATTCCCACAACGACCAGTACGTCCAATTCGATGAACATATTCATCAATGGCAGAAGGAAGATCAAAATTGATAACATGTTGAACATTTTCAATATCCAGTCCCCTAGCAGCTACTGATGTGGCAACAAGAACTGGGCACTTTCCACAACGAAAATCTCCAAGAGCTTGCTCTCTCTCTCTCTGTTCCCGATCACTTGAAGGAAAAGAAAATAAATCATTAAAGAGAATTTTTAAAGTTCACCACATAACTCCTTTTTAATAAAGTAAAAACAGTGGCATTTAACATTAATGCCTACACTTCTTACATATCAAGTATTATGCTAATTGTTTTTAAGCTACAAGTTTATTTAATCCTCACAATGATACTTTTCAGGTTGGAACAATTATTCCCATTTGTAGAAGAGGTAAGGTAACAGTTAATACATAGAGCCAGAAATTCAAATATGATAAACATCAACTCCCACCTATTAACAACCTCTGTCTTCTAGTCTTGAGAAAAATAAAATAAAATACTTATTAGACTGCTTTCTCAGGAAACAGATATTTTTAAAAGTATAATTTTAGAGTTCTACATATTCAGGAATATTTTAGATCCACTAGTAAAGTGTCAAGGAGCTCTGGTTGGCGCAGTGGATACGACATCTGGCCGCTGAACAGAAAGCAGTGGTTGAAACCCACGAGCTGCCTCGCCAAAGGAAAATGGGGCAATCTACTTACATAAAGATTTACAGCCTCAGAACCCCAATGGGGGTCGCCATGCGTTGGAATTGAGTTGGTGGCAGTGAGTTTGGGTTTTTTTTGAGTAAATTGTCAATAAAGTTGTTTTAATATGACATTTTTAAGCACACCAGGCACCAGAAAGACTGGATTCAACATGGGAAAAACTCAGTTCTAAGGGTTGTTGTTGTTATGTGCCGTCGAGTCAGCCCCGACTCATAGCGACCCCTCCTTGGGTTTCCGAGGCAGTATCACTACGGAAGTAGGATTGCCCAACCTTCCTTCCGAGGAGTGGCTGGTGGGTTTGAACCGCCAGCCGTCTGGTTAGCAGGCAAGTGTCTTAGCCACTATGCTACCAGAGTTCTAAGGGTTAGAAATTCTTAAATGAGATGGCCTTAGAAGAGATCCTCCTAATGATGAGGAGTCTAAGGCAAAACCTCAACTCCTCTATATCCTTGCTACCTAGTTCTTAAAAAATAAGACTGAAGATGCAAACTGAATGATTTTAATCTAGATCCTAGTCCTATGATCATATATTAGTTACATATACTGATACTTCTTAACAAATGCCAAATAGAAGCCATTTTCCCCCCTAGAAAATCACATTCATCTACTTACCCATGAATACTTGTAGTTGATATTTTTTCTTGACAAAGAAAGGTTGCAATAAAATCTGCTTTTTTCTTAGTTTCAACAAAGACCATAGTTCTTTCATCACCTACAAAACAATAAAACATAATAAAAATTTAAAATATAGAATTAGGAAAAGGAAAAAAAAAAGGGGGGGGGAAGGACAGACAGGAAACTTTGTCACCTTCCCTCATCCACTGCTGCATTCCCAGCACCCAGAGTCAAGCCTGGGTTATAATACCAAAAAAAAAAAAAACCCTCCTTCGGTTTCCCTACAGCGGCAGATTGCCCAACCTTCCTTCCGAGGAGTGGCTGGTGGGTTTGAACTCCCAGCCTTCTGATTAGCAGTCAAACGCCTTAGGCAGTATGCTACCAAAGCTGGTTTATAATAAGGACTCAAATATTTCCTGAATGGTTGAACATCAAATATTAAAAATACTGTTTTCTCAGTTCAAGGGCTAAAAACATTCACTTGTCTTTCCCTCTCCCAATCCAACACTAAATCCACTGCCATCAAGCTGATGCTGACTCATATGGAGCCCCACTGGGTTTCCAAGGCTGTCTTTAGGGAAGTAGATTGCCTCATTTTTCCTCCCATGGAGAACTGGTGGGTTTGAACCACTGACCACCTGGTTAGCAGTCACAAGCCTTGCCCACTACACCACCAGAGCTCATTATACAAGTAGAAACTTAGCAAAAGATAAGTGATATTTACCTGCCAATTGTTAGTAGTTCCCAAATTTCCCTCAGGGCACTCATCGCCCTGTTCTCTACCTCCCAAGAAAATCCAATTTATCATTCTGCCTGAATGCCCAAGGTGTTGATAAATAGTGGCATTCCACCCAGGGCTGCTAAACTCTACAATATTCCATGTTCCAACATTAGCTCTTAATTCAAACCTTTTCACGTATAAATTTTCTGATATACAAAGGAAACCAAATGATAGTTTTATCCCTGCATCTTAAACTAGTAAGTAAATATTCCTTAATGAGTTAAGTATTAAACTTGTAGAAATTCAAGAATGGGTCAGCAATTTTTCTACCAAGGGAATATTCCTATAAAATGTTATAAAAGAAAGATAAGAATCCACAGCCTTAATGGAAAGAATTACAGACTACTGTACATAACAGTATCTCTCCTCTATCTCCACAAAAGTGCCAGTCTACTATCAATAACCTATCATTCAGATTTATGTGCCAACCCTAAAGCCAAAGATAAAGGACACCGAAGATTTTACCAACTTCTACACTATGGAATTGACCAACATGCAATCCAGATGAAATGATATTTACTAACGCTTGGAATGCAAAAGATGGAAACAAAGCAGCAGCCTCAGTAGCTGCAAAATACTGCCTGTGTGGCAGGAAGGACAGCAGAGATGGCACGCTAGAACTCTGCATGATTTTTAATGATTTTTTCATTGCAAATGCTGTTTTTAAATAACACAGACAGCAACTATACACACGGACTTCACCAGATAGGATACACAGGAATCAAACAGACAACATCTGTGGAAAGGGGTGACAGAGAAGCTCAATATCATCAGTCAGAACAAGGCCAGCAGCTGACTGCAGAACAGACCATTAACTGCTCATGTGCAAGTTTAAGTTGAAGCTACAGAAAATTAAAACAAGACCATGAAGCCAAAATACAACCCTGAGAATTATCCCACCTGAATTCAGAGACCATCTGAAAGACAAATTTGACACACAGAACACCAATGACCAAAGACCAGACAAACTGCGGGATGACATCAAACTTAAAAAAAGTAAAAGGTCATTAAAAAGACAGGAAAGGAAGAAAAGACCAAAATGGCTGTCAGAAGAGACTCTGAAACTTGCTATGGAACTGAGAGCAGCTAACAAAAATGGAAGAAACGATGAAGTAGAGCAGCTGAACAGAAGTTTTCAAAGGGCAGCTTAAGAGAACAAAGGAAAGTATTATACTGAAATTTGCAAAGACATGGGGCTGGAAAATGAAAGGGGAAGCAACACACTTGGCAATTCTCATCTGAAAGAACTGAAAAAAAAAATCAAGTCTCAAGTTGTGATACTTAAGGATTCTACAGGCAAAATACTGAATGATGTAGGAAGCATCAAGAGATGGAATAAAGAGAGTCACTGTACCAAAAAGGACTGATTGACAATCAACCATTTCAGGAGGTAGCATATGATCAAAAACCAATGATACTGAACAAGTCCAAGTTGCACTGACAGTATTGGCAAAAAAAAAAAAAAAAAAAAACCAAGGCTCCAGGAACTGCCAAATACTCATTGAGATGTTTCAACAAACAGATGCAGTGCTGGAGGTGCTCAACCTGTCTAAACCAAGAAATATGGAAGACAGCTATCTCGCCAAAGAAATGTGATCCAACAGAATGCACAAAATATTGAACAATATTATTAATATCACATGCAAGTAAAATTCTGCTGAAAATAATTCAAAAATGGTTACAGCAGGTCATCAACAGTGAACTGCTAGAAATTCAAGCCCAATGAAAAAGAGAACGTTGATGTCTCGATGGTTCTTGGCTGAAATAAAAGAATATCAGAAAGATGTCTACCTTTGTTTTATTGTCTATGCAAAGGCATTTGACCATGTGGATCATAACAGATTATGAATAACACTGGGAAGAATGGAATTCGAGACTACTTAATTGTGCTCATTAGGAACCTGCACATAGACAAAGCAGCAGTCGTTCAAACAGAACAAGGCGATGCTATGTGATTTAAAATCAGAAAAGGTGTATGTTGAGAATGTATATTTTTACCATACATATTCAATCTTTATGATGAGCAAATAATCTGAGAAGCTGAATCTAAAGAAGAACATGGCATCAGGATGGGAGAAGTCTCATCAAACACCTATGATACTCAGATGACACAACCTTGTCTGCTGGAAGTCAAGACGATTTGAAGTACTTATTAATGAATATAACAGACTATGGCCTTAAGTAAACCTCATCATAAACAACAGAAAAATCCTCACAACTGGACTAATAAGCAACATCGCGGTAAATGGAGAAAAAGCTGAAGTTGTCATTTACTTGGATCCGTGATTGCATGAAAGCAACACTCAAGAAATCAAATGATATAATGCATTGGGCACATCTTCTACAAAATGCTGTTAGGTGCTGTCAAGTTGGCTCCAACTCATAGGGATCCTATACACACTAGAACGAAACACTGCCCAGTCCTATGCCATCCTCACAACCCTTGTGAAACCTGAGCCCATCGTTGCAGCCACTGTGTCAATCCATTTCACTGCAGGTCTTCCCCTTTTTGTCTGACCTCCATTTTACCAAGCATGATATCCTTCTCCAGGGAATGGGCCCTTCTGCCAACACGACCAAAGTAGGTGAGGTGAAGTCCAGTCATTTTCATTTCCAAGGAACATTCCAGCTGCACTTCTTCCAGGATAGATTTGTTTGTTCTTCTGGTCGTCCATGGTACCTTCAGTATTCTTCACCAACACCAACTCAAAAGTATCAACTGTTCTTCGGTCTCCCTTATTCATTGTCCAGCTTTCACATGCATATGAGGCTACTGAAAATACCATGGTTTAGATTAGGTGCATCTTAATCTTCAAGGAGATATCTTTGCTCTTCATCACGTTGAAGAGGTCTTTAACAGCAGATTTGCCCAGTGTCATACAATGTCTGATTTCCTAACTGCCGCTTCCATTGTTGTTGATTGTGGATCTAACTCATATGAAATCTTTGACAACTTCAATCTTTTCTCCATTTATCATGATGCTGTTTTATGGTCCAGTTGTGAGGATTTTCATTTGCTTTATGTTGATGCTGTATCCTTTCACCCTACTTATTCAGTTTGTATACTGAGCAAATAATCTGGGAAGCTGGACTATATGAAGAACACGACATCAAGACTGAATGAAGACTCATTAACAATCTGCGACATGCAGATGATACAACCTTGCCTACGAAGTGAAGATGATCTGAAGCACCTACTGATGAAGATTAAAGACTATAGACTGTAGTATGGATTATACCTCTTATTACAAAAAACATCTTGGAAGTGCTAAAGAGCAAAGATGTCACTCTGAAGACTGAGGCGTGACTAACCCAAACCTTATGTTCGATAGCCTTGTCTAGGTTCTTCAGTGCTGCTATAACAGACATACCACAAAGGAGTGACCTTAAACAACAGGGATTTATTCTCTTACAGTTTAGAAGGCTAGAAATTGAGATGAAAGTGCTGGCTCTAGGGGCGGTGTGAAGGCCCGTTGACCCTGGGCTTCAGCTATGCCTCCTGCTTCAAGCCCACTAGAGCTGGAGGCTCTTTCTGACTCATGTAGCTACTGCTGAGGATTACAAACCCAAGACTGACAAGGAAAAGGGCACCATCCTAAGATTAGCAGACATAACATGGCAGACCACCAGTTCAATTCCAGAACAATCCAAGGTTGGTAGGCAACGTAGTAGGCCACTGAGATGAAGATTCAGCCAAATGAAAGATCCAGATTTGCCAAAAGCTAGAGACCCTTCCCAGAGTTTCTCCATATATACTGGAAGCAGGCCACACCCTGAAGGCAACTCCCTTTACACTGATTAAATATCACACAGATTTCCCATGGAGTTGATTACACCACATCCAAGCTCATCATGGGCAATTAATCACATCCAATAGTCAAACCACTAAAAACCAAGACCCAGCCAAGTTGACACACAACTACTACAAACCTCCCAGGCATGTGACAGCTGGACAATGAATAAGAAAGACTGTAGAAGAATGGATGTATTTGAATCGTTGTTGTTGTTAGGTGCCGTCGAGTGGTTTCCGACTCATAGTGACCCCATGCACAGCAGAACGAAACACTGCTCGATCCCACGCCAGCTCCTTGATCCCTGCTATACTTTAGCTCATCATTGCAGGCACCGTGTCAATCCATCCCATTGAAGGCCTCCCCTTCTTTCGTCGACCCTCCACCCTACCAAGCATGACATCCTTCTCCAGGGAATGGTCCCTTCTGACAACATGACCAAAGTAG